TGATCCTGGACAGCTGTCACTGTAAGATTGTCAGCAACTCTGCTTGTTTGTCTGAGTTAGCAACAGTAACTAAGGGGGCGGGGCTCATCTATGGGTCAATTAGAGGGTATTTCTAGTGAAGGGAAATATGGCAAGCCAGCAGGAAAAAAGCAAAGGAGCAAACATGGAAATCTTTGTGAGGCCAGAAGCAGCAAGAGAATTAATGAACTTCAGACACCTTTACTGTCGCATGCTGACTTTCACGTTGAGGTTTTTACTCTAATTTATCATCTGCAAAACTTTCCCAATGATATACTTCTAAAAAAGCAGGCTCCGAGCCGAGGCAATGCATATGTTTTGATAAATTTACAGCAAGCGCCACAGAATCTCGGCTGACGTGTGCAGATTGGCACACGATTTCCAACCCGCCGCCAGCTTTTACAGGTGGACTTCATTTATCAGCATAACAATGGGGAGAAATATCATAGACTCCATCAAAAAAATACCAGACTAGCAGTTATTCTGTCTGAGCGATTATCAATTTGTACTGACGGGCAAAATGTCAAGAGAGAAACTGATGCATTTTGAATAGTGATACAGTATTTATAATGTACAGACTAAAGTTCAGATGCTTCATTCGTCATAGACGATTTGCAGTGCAGATATTTGCAGGATTACTTAAATATTGCTAAAACAGCCGGTGTTTATGATAATATTATATTAATAATACTTTTTGTTACATGTTTTATTATAGAAAATTAATAACTATGTATTTAATAACTAAATCATATTTATATTAATATATTATACTAAATATAATAATGATTACTACTACAATAATTATTATATATTATAATATTTCTGATTCATATTCTGGGGTATATCATATTAATATATAATTTTAATGGATAGTTACTTTTATTAATAGTAATATGAATCATGATCGAATAAAATTAATAATAACAGCCATTATAATATTTAGATTATTATAAATAATAATACCTACCACTTTTTTATACAGATCATGCTTTATTATATAAAATTACTAACTATTTATATAACTAAATCATATGTATATGCATTTACTAACAAATTATTATAAAGATTAATACTACACTAACAATTATATATTTTAATGTTTGTGATAAATATTCAGGGATATATATATATATATATATATATATATATATATATATATATATATATATATATATATATATATATGAGCAATTTCACACAAGTAGCAGTGCGATATGGCTGTATATCGGCACTGGTGGGAGGCGTGCGTTGGCACGAAGATGTAGGCCGAGTGCCTTAGTGCCCACACCAGTGCTGATATACAGCCATATCGCACTGCTACTCGTGTGATATTGCATTTATAAAACAGTTTGACGGCATAATTGTGTATATAAAAACAAAATCAAACACGGAAAGTCTCAAAAACCCTTTTGTATGAGGAACTACTTTCTTCCACATTGGATTTAAATCATAATGACAGTTAAACAGCGGAGCAAGCATCTTTTAAACTTTAGATCTGTAATGTCTGCTTGTTGCTGGCTGTATGTGGGCGGAGTAATACACAAAGGGTAAAGAGGCTGTACGGGTGCTGATATTATTTATATATATCATGGCTAGTAGCTAATAATCATTCGAGAACCCGACAGAACTGTTGTATATGTATATATATATATATATATATATATATATATATATATATATATATATATATATATATATATATATATATATATACATATATTTCTCATTAATATTTTAGAATTTTTATTAATAGTAATATGAATCATCATCGATTAAAGTTAATAATATTAACAACAGCAATAACATTCATTTTATTTATAATACTAACCATTTTATTATATGAAATAACTGTTTTTGTTATTAACGAAATCATATTTATATAATAACTAATTATAATGATTATTACTAAACTAATTAGTTTATATTATATTTGTGACATATTCAGGGATATATTATAATTATTTAATGGACTATTTCTTAGTAATATGTATCATCATCAACTAAATTTATTAATAACAACAACTGTAATAATATTTATATAATAACTTATGATAATTATTACTTTGTTAATTATTATATATTAGAAATAGATACATTTAATGGATATTTACTTTTATTATTATCAATTTAATAATAACAACAGTAATAATATTTATTATTATATATATATATATACACAAACACACACACACACACACACACACACACACACACACACACACACACACACACACACCAATTACATAATAATAATCAAATAATAATAATAATAATAGAAATAATGATGATAATAATAACAATGATAATTATTATTATCATTATTATTATACACAAAAAAAATCTCAAATAACCAAACTCAAATAAGACTGATTAGAGGAATGCACTTGTTTATTAGTGAGTGTGCAGACATGGAGAAGAGCAGAGCAGAGTTTAATGGAGTTTGCACAGACAGCAGTGTCTGCATGAGTAATATTTCTGGACTCAGGTGGTGTGGAAGGAGCTGTGAGAAGGAAAAATCTGCTCTGCTCATTCCATGAATACCTACTGCGCTGCGCTCTCCACTTCAAAATACAGAGGCCGGCCGAGGAGAACATCTGCACAAACCCACACACACGCCAGCAGCACATCTATGCATACAATACATCATCAGCATTTGGTGTTATGATTCATACCTGCTTATGTTTAACAGCATCTGATGTTCACAGCCATTGACATTATTGTTTCTACTATTCATGTCAATGGTTGCTTTTTCCCCCCAACATTTTCCAGAATATCTTGTTTTGTGTTCAGCAACAACAAAAAAAGGAAAGTCACAAGAGTATAAAACCATTTCTGTGAGTATATGATGATTAAACTTTCATTTTTGGGTGAACTATAAACTTTAAAGAGGTTTAAACTTTAAAGAGGTTGCTATGTGGCAGCAGTGTGTAAATATAGCCAGCCTTTAACGGTAAAAAGTAATTAACTATTATTTTTTTAATCATACTGTATAATAACAGCCTGCAGAAACACTTTAATTGACATTCCCCCTATATATATGTGTGTCATTGGAAGGAGAAAGTCACTCCGATTAGTGACAATCTTTCCCTTATAGAATAGACAGCCCTGAGTGAGAAGCAGCTGTCCACCATTTGATTTTACATCAGTTTAGTGACAGAGAGAATGCTATTCTAGTTTTGAATTTGCTGTTATGCTGACACATAGGCATTTGTAGCTCCGCCTTGAAAATTAGAATTTAAAGCGACAGTCATCGAAATGACACAATTTGAATCAAAGCCAAAAAAGTGGCAGTTTCAACAAGTTACAACATTTATTTGTAAGGTATTTTGAACTGAAACTTCACATACACACTCTTGGGACATCAGAGATTTATTTTACATCCTATTTTACAAAAGGGGCACAAAAGATCCCCTTTAAGGCTTTTTAAACTAAGACACTTCAAGTTAAAAAAAAAGTTTGTCATCATATTACCATATTAAACTAGTTGATTGATTGCAAACTTTTATTGTGCGTTTTCTAAAATGTCATGCTTAAATATGCAAAATGATGTATGTGCTAATTTGCATACTTTTCTTGCACAAAGTCATCACCATTTTAACTGTGCATTTTGGAAAAATATCCATTAATTTACAGCAGCAATTTGCTCATGATATATGTGGGGTTTTTTGCTGTTGGGGGGTTAATTGAAGTTTTCAATTGCATTATGAGACCTTGATGTCTGCTCTGACAATGCTTGATGTAGATGTTTTATATTTATTAAATGCATACAGAAATAAATCTGTAAACTGCCAGTTTTTTAACAGCACATTGTGTTTGTACTGTAGTATACCATGTCAAACTGCAAACAATGTCAATAAAAGTTTGTTTGTATTATTTCAACAGCAAATCAGATGAGTGATTGAGGTCCCTAAAATCATATTTAAAAGCAATTAAATAAATTTAAAGCACCGATTAATGAAACTCCCACATAGAAATCTGATATATGACATACAAGTTCAAATTTGGATTTCACATATATAAAATATCACATTTGCAACATATATTTCTAAATATTTAAAAAATGTCCCCTTTCTACATATATATATATATGAACATATTTGTGGAAACATATTTGGGAAAAAATATGCATGCACCCATTTTGCAATCCTTTCACTGGCCACTTTATTAGGTATATCTTACTAGTTGGACCCCTTTTGCCTATAGAAATGCCTTAATCCTTTGTGGCGTAGATTCAACAAGGTACTGGAAACATTCCTCAGAGATTTTGCTCCATATTGAGATAATAGCATCATGCAGTTGCTGCAGATTTGCATCCATGATGCAAATCTCCCATTCCACCACATCACAAAGGTGCTCTATTGGATTGAATTGGTACTAATGGGCCCAAAGTGTGCCAAGAAAAAAATCCCCTCCACTTATTACAGAACCATCAGCAGCCTGAACCATTGATACAAGGCAGGAGGGATCCATGCTTTCTTGTTGTTGATGCCAAATGTTGACCCTACCATCCGAATGTCGCAGCAGAAATCGAGACTCATCAGACCAGGCAACATTTTCCAATATTCTATTGACCAATTTTGGTGAGCCTGTGCTAATTGTAATCTCAATTTCCTGTTCTTAGCTGACACGAGTGGCACCTGGTGTGGTCTTCTGCTGTTGTGGCTTATCAGCCACAAGGTTGGACATGTTGTGCATTTAGAGATGAGCTTCTGAATACCTCGGTTGTAACCAGTGGTTATTTAAGTTACTGTTGCCTTTTATCAGCTTAAACCAGTCTCCTCTGATATTTTCTCTTTTTCGGGCCATTCTCTGTAAACCCTAGAGATGGTTGTGCGTGAAAATGCTCAGTTTGAACTGTAGCAGATCATCTTGACCATGTCAGTTACTGCTATCTGATTGGCTAATTAGAAATTTGCATTAACCAGCAGTTGGACAGGTGTACCTAATAAAGTGGCCGGTGAGTGTATATTTTTATGTTTGTAAAATCCAAATATGTCATTTTTATGTATCAGATTTCAATATAATTACTAACGAACAGATCTCTTCTTCACAGTGCAGCTTCATGCTAACGCAGTGTTTAGTGTTTCTGTGAGCCTGCAGGACACCATGAACTCTGACCTTGTAATCCTCAGTACTGTGACTCTCACATGATGCTGGAAACAGCAGCGCCGCGGCCCCCTCACACAGCAGACCAGAGACACACGCATACACACATCTGTCCTGGGAACAGAAAGCGTCCGCTCCCGCTGTTTGGGAGGAATGGGGTGGTTTCCGTCTTTTGGGAGATTTCTCTTTTTCTGGGAGAGGAGGAATCAGAATGGAGAGAACAAGCCCCTTATTACAAAGGTAGTGGGATTTATTTATGCTTATCGTCTTTAAACGTTTAGTTGCTGAATGTGTCAAGTGATTGTGCTTTTAATGTTTCTTTAATCTAGTCAACAAATATCTTTTATTTTATTTTATTTTTCTTTTCATTTTTTTCCTCTTTCACTTGATTAAGTTTCTGGTTCAAGCAATGATGCAAGATTATTATTATTTTATAATTAATGATCAATAATCATGTTATAACAATTATAATAAGACTGTTTATGATGAGGATAACGATTGACATCAGAGGATAATGATTGACATCATAACTGGTCATTAATATTGTTATCATAGAATTATTAATATCAATTATAGTCATTAGTGTAACTAATGAATAATCATAATAAATAATTATTAGGGTAACCATTATTGGTAATCAATATCAATGATAAATTATTAATTGATACAAATAATTACGTTATTATATGTTATACTAATTATAATATGCTATATTGTTTATGATGGTAATAACTCATTATTATTACTAATGATTGATCAAATTTGTCATTATTATAGTAATTTACATTATTGTTGGCATTATTAATAAAAGGTATAGATTAGTATAACAAATGAATAATTCTAATATATAATTGGTAGGGTAACGTTTATTTATTACAATCATTATTAAAAATGAATAATTCATTTCTAAAAATAATTACAATATTAAGATGTCATACTAGTTATAATATTCTATAAAGCTTATGATGGTAATAAGTTAATATTATTATTATTATTATTATAATTAATAGCTGATATCAGTGATTAGTATGACTCATGGGTAATCATATAACTATTAGGTTTATCATTATTAATAATTACAATCATTATTATTGATTAATTATTAATTTTTATAAATAATAAAGTTATTATTATATGTTATACTAATTATAATAATTCATATTGTTTGTGATAATAACTTATTAATATTGCTAATAATTAATTAGCGATATAAGTCAATATATTAACAATATTAACTGTCATTATTTTTGTATTTTATATTATCAATATTATATTTAGTATTTTTCATTTAAATGATATATTAGTATAAATAATGAATAATCATAATATATAATTATTAGGGTAACCATTATTTCTAATTACAATAATCATTAATGATGAATTATTAATTTCTCCAAATAATCATATTATTATGATATGTTAAACTAATTATAAAAATGTCATATTGTTTGTGATGATAATAACTTATTATTAACACAAATAATTGAAATCATAATCTGTCATTATTATAGTCCTTACTACTATAATTATAATTATTATTATCATTGTTAGTAGTGTTCATACAAATTGTGGATATGTACAACTAATTTGAATATGTGCAAATAATTCCCCTATAAACTAACTAATTTGATATCACAATTTGTCATTATTATGGTAATTTATATGATCATTATTGTTAGTATTATCAAAATAAATTGTAGGTTACCATAACTAATGAATAAACATAATATATAATTATTAGGGTAACCTAATTGATAATGATTGATTATTAATTTATTTTTTTAAATTATGTTATTATGACATGTTAAACTAATTATAATAAGCCATATTGTTGCTATTGATGATTATGATGATGCTAATATTAATAATAATATTAATAATTATTATTATGATTAGTATTACTAATACTTTATATAATAATATTTTAGGTAATAATAATTATTATATTAATTATTATATAATTATTATATTAATCTACATTATCACTGTTGAGATAAGAATTTTAGAATAAACTATGAAGAATACTATTATTCTTATTATTATTATTAGATATTCTCAATAATTACGATTACTTTCAAACAATCCTTATTTACAATTAATTACTCATCTCTACAAATAAACTATTACATTAATTTTATATGCTATAATTAGTAAGTCATATTGATGATAAAATATTAATCATAATATAAACAATAAGTATAGATTATTATTCATATTATTATAAAGTTATATTATTATTATAATAGTTATAATAATAGTTATTATTATTATAAAGTTATATTATTTACAGTAATATAAAAAATTATACAAATTAAAACATATTTAAAATAAAAATTAAATATTTTATAGATGATAATCATAAAATATATTCAATTATTATTATTATTATTATTATCATCACTACTACTACTGCTGCTGATGAAGATGATGATGCACAAAAACTATTTAGTGAATGTGTCCCAAATTGAAGCGCACTTAAATGCATTAAAGTGTATTCAAATGCAGTCACAACCTTTGACCTCTTACCCAATCCAGCAGGACGTCAGGAAATCAGAAGGAGCCTCCGCTGCCTCATACTTGGGAACATACGAGAGTTCAGGAAGTCACACCAGCTCCAGTTTCTCCAGCCATGAAGAACCGTCCAGATCTTCATCACGGAGGTTCCGCTTCAGTCCAGCATCTTTTGGGACGTCCGGCTGGAGCGACTACATCCTCAAGTACCTGCTGATCTCCAGTAACCTGCTCTTCACAGCCCTGGGCCTGGCCACGTTGGTGCTGGGTCTCTGGGGTCTGATCAACAAAGAGTCCTTCGCTCAGGAGAAGATCAGCGGGATTGGGACGGACCCCATGCTGCTCTTCTTGTTCCTGGGTTTGGTCCTCGCCCTGCTGAGCATGACGGGATGCATCGGGGCGTTGCGAGAGAACATGTGTCTCCTACGGATCTTCTCGGCTGCGGTTTTTCTTCTGGTGGTGGCACAGGTCCTGGCAGCGGTTGCACTGTTCAGCATGCAGGCTCAGATGGAGGACTACCTACGTTTGGGCATGTTGACCGCTATCGTGAGGTATCAGGATGACCTGGACCTAAGATTTATCACTGATGAGATCCAGACCAGCCTGCAGTGCTGCGGGGCCGACACCTACAGAGACTGGGAGATCAATGTGTGAGTGCACCTTCTCATATTCTTAAGTTTGCAATAGTCATTCAATTGTGCAAACTCAATCAGTTGATTCAATTAAGTCATCTTAACGTTACGCTTGCATTTAGTCATTTAGCTCACCCAGGCTCATTCTGAAAACGTACCTTTATATACATTTCTGGAGAGCGCCAGGTACATCTCAGGATCTAAGTCTTTCAGGAACACATCAGAGTCTGCTGTGTACGATTTTTGAGATCTCAAATTTTTTTCCATTCCATTCGTGCCTGCTGTTCTCGCGTAAATCCACCAGAGACCGCTATCAGCTGACTGACCCACCCTCCTCCTTTCCTAAACCCGACCAAAAGTGTTTTCAAAAGCACCGACTGACCCGCCCACCCACTTCCCTAAACCCAACCGACAGTTTTAAAAAGCAATCCAGAAAAAGAAAAGCCCTCACCTGATTTTTACACTAGTCAAGCTGTACCTGCTTTTGCCTTATTTTGTTCACTGAGGACTTCTGAACTGTGGTCTATCCTTTGAGCAACAGTATGCTCATTAAAAAAAGAAAAAAAAGGGATTCATTTACAACTTCCAATCCTTACCAATAATTTCCCTCTCTTCTCAGATGGGATGACGGGCAAAACCAAAGATTACACAGGCCCTATTTGGGCATCTCTGATATAGAGAAATAAGTCTGTGAAATAACAGAAAATGTACTGGTTTTTTGAATCATAACATATACAACACCACCGCAGCCAATAGATCACTTTAAACTAATAAAAATGTCAATAAAAGTCACTTTTTCATATGTTTTAAGGTTAAAAGTTGTTGAAAAAAAAAAAGATTAAGGTCCCATAATGCAGCTAAACAGCAAAGAAAAATGGGCAAAAACATCTAAACATGATAACAAAATACAGTAAACTGCTTATTTACGGATATTTTACTGTGTATTTACCACCATAATGGTCTACAAATTTTACCATAACAAAAAGCTAAGTAAATCCTAACACCGCACAAGATTTAAGAACAATTAATGACTCCATATGTTAATCGTGTGCAAAAAAACACACAAAATAACACTTCATCTCAACATTTATCCTTCCTACAGTCTGACACGATACATGCTGGGAACTAGAAATCTGCCAGTTTCAGCAAACTCATACAGTTTAAGTTCAGCTTAATTCAATCAACTTTCTTTTTCATAACTTGTTTCTATTAAACACAATAAACTTACACTAATATTTAAGTGAAAGGAACTCTCCTCACATGATTTACTGCGCTGTTTGATTTTACAGGGAATCCAGACACAGGCTGATGTCATTAGTCATTGTCAGAGTTTCCAACACTGCAGTAGTCCAGCGTTTCTTAAATACACAGATTATACAACATAATTAGCTATAAAGAGCCCCCTCCAGTATATTTAATGCTTTCTGGATGACGGTTTGGATTTGGCTGTCTGTCTCCTGCTTGTTATTCTTGATCATACCAGTGTTTCTTGTCCTATTCCTTTCCAGTACTTTGGGGTTTATTGTGTTTTTCTCATTTTGAAATACCAATTTTGATTACTTACTGTTGACAAAGTAAGACTATATTCAAGCTTAAGTTCATGGGATAGTTCACCCAAAAAATAATAATCATTTACTCACCCTTCACTTGCTCCAAACCCGTTTGGCTTTTTTTGCCTGATGAACAAAAAAGAAGATATTTTGAAGAACGCTGGAGACCTGAAACCATTGACTTCCACAGTAGGAAATAAAGAAACACCAAAAAGCTTTGAACCAAGTAAGGGGTGAGTAAATAATTTGTAAATAAGTAAATAAAATGACACTTAGAGATAGTTCACACAAAACTAAAAGATTCTTCTGTTGAACACAAAACGTGATATTTTGAAGAATATTAGAAAAGACGGACGTTTACGTTTTCCTACTATGGAAGTCCAATGTTTCCTCTTGGATTTTTTCCAGCTGTCGTGGCAGGCCTTTTTTACACAGATCTACCTGTGGCATTATTTCAATGACAAATGTCGTGAATGCAGTATTACAAGTCGAGATCGCATTTATCGATTTCCTCTGCTCGTGCACAAAACTTTTTGCACGCCCCTTGAAACATAAGCCGCTCCAAGATCTTATGCGCAGATCTTGTGCGCTCTCAAATAAATGCTGCTGAAGTGCAATTTAGTGCGTTTATGTAACAAGTGTGTCTCCAGCATTTATTAGATTTGCTAGGAATATTTCTGAATGTCTCCCTATAAACCTACAGAGCGATATTAATGTGTCCTGAAGTAAAGTGAAACGGCTATACGTCGTGTTTGCTGGCCTCAGGCATCACGCGCCTGTCAGTCAGCACATAACCTTAAAGGGTAAACAATTGACGCACAGCACTACTATGGTTACAGAAAAGTTTGCGCTGTTATAATTCACTTACCCTTTAATATTTTTTGGTGCGATTATTACCCGATATTCAAAAAATAAAATGTTTTGAATGAGAAGCAGTAATGTAGATGTGGCGGGATGAATTTTGGCGTGGCGCCCCGCCATGGAAGAATGAATGTAGCGGAAACCATGAAGTCAATGGTTACAGGTTTCCAGCATTTTTCAGAATAACTTATTTTGTGTTCAGCATAAGAATGAAACTCCAAAAAGGTTTGAAACATGTAAGGGGCGAGTACATGATTTTTATTTTTGGGTGAACTATCGCTTTAAATGACACAAAAAATCTGATTTAAACATTTGTTGAACACAAAACTAAATATATTCTGAAGAATGCTAGAACAGAAGGCCACTGACTTCAATAGTATTTGTTTTTTCCTACTATGAAAGTCAATAGTTACAGATTTCCATCATTTTTCAGATTAAATTATTTTATGTTGAAGGTTTCAAAAGCTTTGAAACATGTCAGGGGTGAGTTAATGATTTTCCTTTTTGGGTGAACTATCCCTTTAAATGACACTTTAAGAGTTCACACTTACCTGACGCTTGATTAAATAAAAGAAAATTTGGCATGCTCTCCTAGGAAAGAGCCCTGAGCTCAGAGGAGCCACGAGCCCAGGGCTCCTTCCAGTTTACTGAGGGAGGAGTCCAAGCTCAGGTAGGTCTCAAGAACTCCCCCAATATTGAAGAAGGACAGGGTGGAAGTAGTTGGGATGAATGGGGGGGTTTCGTTAAAAAACAAGGATGTCTAAAGTAACCAAGGCAGAATATTTATGTTGCTGATTGGTTGGTTAGTGATTGATGTTGCAGCACCAGCTGTGGTCATTCATAAGCACGTGATCCTCTTGAAATGTGTTGATAAAACTTTACTTAAAGAATCAGTTCAAACTAAATGTAAAGATCAGAGTTTCTTCTGTTGAACACAAAACAAGGTATTCTGAAGAATGTTAGAAAAGACAAACATTTACTTGCTTTCATAGTATTTGATTTTTCCTACTATGGAAGTCGATGGTTACAGGTGTCCAGCATTTTTCAGAATAACTTATTTAGTGTTCAGCTGAAGAAAAACTTAAAAAAAAAAAAAAAGGTTTGAAACAAGGGGTTAGAAAATAATCTATATTTTAGGGTGAACTGTCTCTTTAAATGACACTAAAAATCAGATCAAAAGATTCTTCTGTTGAACACAAAAGAAGATATTCTGACGAATGCTAGAACAGATGGCCATTGATTTCCATAGTATTTGTTTTTTTCCTACTATGGAAGTCAATGGTTACAGGAATCAGCATTCTTTAAAATATCACATCATATCAACTGCATTTGAGTGAGTCTCACATATGGCCATTTCTCTGGTCTCAGGTATTTCAACCTACTTTTACCAACCATTGACAAAGTAAGACTGTACTCTATTCAAACAAGATCAAGGGATAGTTCACCCCTAAAAAATGATCACTTACTCACAAGTTACTTGTTCAAAATCTCGTTGACTTTCTTCTGTTGAACAGAAAATAAGATATTTTGAAGAATGCTGGAAACCTGTGACCGTTGACTTCCATAGTAGGAAAAACAGATACTTTGGAAGTCAACAAGCTTCCAGCCTTTTCCTAAATAACTTATTTTATGTTCAACAGTAGAAAGAAAATGCAAAATAATTTGAAACATGTAAAGGGAAACATGGGTGAACTATCCCTTTAAATGACACTTAAAGAGATAGTTAACACAAAAATAAAAATCTGAGTTTCTTCTGTTGAACACAAAACAAGATATTCTGATGAACTGATGGCCATTGACTTCAATAGTATTTGTTTTTTTTTCCTACTAGTCCTAAGTCAGTGGTTACAGAAATCAGCATTCTTCAAAATATTATATAAACTGCATTTGAGTGAGTCTCAGGTATTTCAACCTATTGTTACCTGCTGTTGAAAAAGTAAGATCAAGGAATAGTTCACCCCCAAAAATAATCATTCACTCACCCCTCACTTGTTCAAAACCTCTTTAACTTTCTTCCATTGATCGCAAAAGAAGCTATTTTGAAGAATGCAGGGAACCTGTGACCATTGACTTCCATAGTAGGAAAAACAAATAATAATACTTAAGCTCACAGTTACAGTAATATGGAAGTCAATGGTTACAGGTTTCCAGAATTTTTCAGATTAACTTATTTCGTATTTAACAGAAAAAAGAAACACCAAACAGGTTTGAAGCAAGTGAGGGTTTTTTTTTTGGTTGAACTATCTTATTTATAACTTTAAATTACACTTACACACACAAAAAAAAAAAAATTGGAGTGTATTCTGTTAAACTCAAAATGAGATATTCTGAAGAATGTTAGAACAGACGGCCATTGACTTTCATAGTATTTGGGGGTCTTTTTGTACAATGGAAGTCAATGGTTACAGGTACATAATTCCTCAAATTATTATGTCATATCAACTGCATGTGAGTGAGTCTCACCCACAGCCATTTCTCTAATCTCAGGTATTTCTACCTACTATTACCTACTGTTGACAAATTAAGACTATACTCTACTCAAGCAAGTTAAAGGGATTGGTCACCCAAAAAATAATAACCATTTACTCACTCTTCACTTGTTCCAAACCTCTTTGACTTTGTTCTGTTGAACCCAAAAGAAGATATTTTGAAGAATGCAGGAGACCTGTAACCATTGACTTCCATAGTAAGAAAAACGAATACTATGGAAGTCAATAGGTTTCCAGCATTTTTCAGAATAACTTATTTTGTGTTCAACAGAAGAAAGAAACTCCAAAAAGGTTTTGAAACAAGTAAGGGGTGAGTACATGATTTTAATTTTTGGGTGAACTATCGCTTTAAATGGCACTTAAAGACGATCATTGACTTCCACAGCATTTGTTTTTGTCCTACTATGGAAGTCAATGGTTACAGGTATCAGCATTCTTCAAAGTATCACATCATATCCACTACTTTTGAGTGAGTCTTACCAATTCTCTGGTGCAGGTATTACAACTGTTCGGCTCCAGGGGTGCAGGCTTGCGGAGTGCCCCCATCCTGCTGCATCGACCCGCTGGAGAACGGGACGGTGTGGAACAGCCAGTGTGGAGTGGGCGCCCAGCAGCTGGACGAGTTCTCTGCCCAGAGCGTGATCTTCCTGGGTGGCTGTTTAGGTAGCGTCGCCCGCTGGATGGAGCACAACGGCGGGGTGATCGTCACAGTGGTCATCGTCTTGCTGGGCATCCAGATACTCACTCTGTTCATAACAGCTCGTCTGCTGCACAAGATAAGGTGGACCAGAGCTCAGCACCAGGCGTACTTACAGGCACTGCAATAAAGGAGTTCAGATGTTTGCTTTTGTTTATGATCATGCAAAGAGATACATGAAATTGATACATGTTAATGCTGATATAAAGGATGAGTCGGATCATAAAGTGAGTTTGCTGGTGCTGGACGAAAAAAAAGAAACCACAACTAAGTCTAAATGAAACAAAGATCAATGATTTATTAAATCAATAATTTTAAACAGTGAATAGAAAAATTTAGAATGTAAATAATTATAAATCAATATCAAACAAAAGACAAGAGTGTTGACAAAATTAAGAAATAAATATAACATAAAACCCAAGCACACTAAGCTAACTAACCTAAGAAAAATGTAGAAACAAAACTGTAATCTTCGGCGTACGACGCTTAAATAAACCTATACTGTAAAATCAATTGTAAGTGTTTTTGTGACAAATCAAGACACAAATCTGTATAACTACATGGGCATGACAGAGGTATTACAAGAAGGTGGTGAGTTTTGAAGACTTTGCTGATGTCTTTCTCAAAATACTTATAAATCACACAGAACGAGTGCTTATAAATGTTCCTGTAATTGGTTGGGATTTAAAGTAGGATTGGAGCTATAGGAAATGTAGTCTGTACAGTATAAAAATAACAGAAACCAATGTAACGTCCCAACAATTCACAAAAACAAGCCTGCATGCATGTGTAAAATAGTAAATGGGTGTAAAGGTGGAATTATATACACAAAGATACATATAAAAATGTATAACATACATAATAAAATATGCAAGCAAAAATAAAAAGAAAGCAAGACTAATAATAATAATAGTAGCAATAATAATAATAATAATAATAATGACAAGAATAAAAAAAAAAATCAAGGGAGGTGAGAATGAGGAAGATGATGCATAATATGGTAAATATTGGTAAAAGAAGTGGTTATAACAGCCATAATAATAATAATAATAATAATAATAATAATAATAATAATAATAATAAATACAGTAATAATTAATATTGAGGAGGAGGAGGAGGAGGTTGAGAGATCAGGAAAAAGACGAAGATGTTTTCAATAAGGCAATGCTACTGTAAAAATGCCGGGTTCCACACAATTTTTTCACACTCACATAACATAGCATGAAATAATTAAGTTGTCCCTAAAAAAAATCAACAAATTGTTTTGATCAGACTCATTTTAAATAAGTAGTTTAATCCTGTAACTGTCACCATCCCGATACCGGGGTGCTTATGTTTAATTCATTATAATGCAATTAATATAAGGACATATTATATATTTTCATATTGTATATTAAATATGGTTTATACACATGTAAACCATAATATCAACATTTTCTAAACAAAGCAATCATGACAAACTTTTTATCATCTGAAAGCTTAAAATGTCTTAAAATATTTGCTAGATGTTACAGGGCAACAGTTGTTTATTAATTTGGGACAAGGATGCACATTAGAGTTGTACTCTGAAACAGCAATGTAAACCTTTCTTAATGTTTTTAGAGGCTAAATTTAAATCAAAAACCACTAAACTGACATACTACTTTCGAATGTTATGTGTAGTTTACAAATATTGTCGAAAGTATGAAAAAATGTGGTTCACACTCCTCAAAGCATACACAAATATGGGGACAGTTAAGGGGTTGATTGAGGTTTCGAACAAGCCTGCATTTAATGAATTCACTGCATCTGAGACCTGGAGATGAAGTTGTTTATTTTGGAGACCGAGAGTCTAGAAATGTTATGATATCGTTTAAAATCTTACAGGCATTACAAGCTTTTTATAGGTTTTCACGGTTTGTAAATGTTTCTATAAAAAACGAATCTTTTGTGAAGTGGGTTAAATACGCATTATCAGGCCAACTTCTGTCATGTTTTTTGTTTTTTGGAAAAAATCTTGCTTGATCTTGCATGCCCCCAGTTAATGTAAAACAAATATTAAAGAGTCGGAGAACATGAAGAGGTTAGTTATCAACTTGAAGAGTTAATTTATATATGCAGCCTACAGAAACACAAAGCTTAGTTTTAAAAAAAATGATATACTTAATGTTAACACTTTAGATTAAAAACCTATTCCCACTATTAATTTATTATCTGTCTATCTGTCTAAATCTGACTTAAAAGGTCAGAAATTCTGTGCATGAATGCAGAACCTTATCAGGTCAATTTCAGCCATGTTGACAAAACAATATGCAGTTATTTGATAGAGATGTGCCACCAGATAACTTGAAACAGAAATTAAAGTATGTGAACTTGAAGAGGTTGCATTTATTTTGCAGCCTTTAGAAAGACATATTTAACTAATACAATAACAACAACAAAATGGTTTCATGTTGTTAAGACCAAGAAAATATAAGATGAATAGGTGTTTAAAAACACTGCAACTTCCAACAAATCTTTATTACTTTAAATCATTTGACATTATATCAAAATTAAATGCATTTTACGTAGTATTTCAGTCATTTATAACATACTTGTATCTAGTTTAAAAATGTACTTATAGTAACCTATTAAATCATCTGTTAAATAAATAATTTTCCATCAATTATTATAGGATCTCCAGATGTATTTCAGCAGTTTTATTGTGAACAATGATTTGTTTTCTGTAATCCAAAAATTCAATAACAAAAAAATCTTTAAATTAATCCACTGTAAAACTGCACCTATTCCCAAACATTCCCCTTAATATAATCAGCCTAATGTATAAAATGTTTTAATCATGTTTTTTACACTTAATTATGCATTTGAAATGCATTCTGGAACCTTGATTTTTCCTCCAAAATCTTTTGATGTTGAACAGTTAGTAAAACTGACATTTTCTTTAGTTTGAAGTTCTGTCAGTACAAAAACCTGATTATAAGCTGCCAGTGCATTTTTAGTTATTTTACAGATTGAATTATCTGACTATATATTATTTCTATATATTTCTATAATATCTTGTCTTAAACTACTAAAATATCAATAAAAGTCACTTTGGTAAAACTTTAAAAAAATGATGAAAAAAAAGTGATCAGAGCAGAAATAAAACTCCAATGATGCAATTCACAAGCGTAAATACACAGAAAACACTTGTTAGCTATAACCTGTTAAGTTATTTAACTAACTAACATATATTTTTAGAGTGTAATAACTGGCCCATCAGTCTCCCCTTTAAAACATTAGCCTTTACAATGTGGAAAACGCTTAATGTTGAAAGAATCAGTTGAGGTGACAGAGCATAACATGTTTAATTTGAAGCCTTTGAAGCGAAAGAAACCTCAGTAACCTACAGGACAAAATGATTCAATTTGAAGTGCCGTGAGCAGCGTCATCTAGTGGTGAAATTATGAAACTGACTCAAACCTTATTTTAAAACAGAAGAACGATACAAACTCTTAAAAAAACTACTAATAGCCTGTGGTTTTATAAGTTCAAGACTTCACATCATTAATGAACTCATCCTAAATCAAGCAGTAACTTCAGAACTCAATAATATTTCAATGTTGCACTTACTAAACATCTCCAGTCTTGCAGATTTCCCCACACTACATTAGAATGATCAGTCTCGCTCTTTTAAAGGGCTTTTGCTCTGGCCTGGCTGGGCTATTGTAAAAAAAAATTAATTGAAATAAATAAATGGATTGTACTTATGCCTTTTCACAGTGTAATCTGATTTCTATGTGCATTTGTTCATGTGACCTGTAAGGAAATATGTGACCAGTCAACTGTTCATTTAAGTTTCGGTGTTTTATTGTATTATGTATTTTATTTAATTTTGTTAAATCTATTATTGGCATTTTTCCCTTGTTTTTTTACTTAAAAAAGATAAATAAATATAAAGTATAAAAAAGAAATAAATAAATATATAACTTCTTTTATAATATATTTCTATTATAATATAACTATAAAATAGATAACCTCACATTTAAAATATATTTAAAATTAAGTAAATAATTAAAACTTGCATCTTACCTGATGTAGAAGAAATCCACATCTTTTTCTGATTTGTGTAGACAAATATTGGAAGTGTCAAAGTTAGAAACCACCACTCTTTAAATTGTATTTAATGAAAAACTGAATATTCAATTTAATTCAATTCAGCTTTATTTGTATAGCGCTTTTACAATGTAGATTGTGTCAAAGCAGCTTCACATAAATGGTCATAGTAACTGGAACAGTGTAGTTCAGTTTTTAGAGTTTAAGTTCAGTTCAGTTTAGCTCAGTTCAGTGTGAATATAGCTATAGTATATTCACAATATAGCTTTATTCAGCATTTGCCTGCACAATAAAGCAAAAACAGAATGAGAAGTGTTCATTGCGCAATATTTTGAAATGCACACACTTCGATTTCAGCAAAATAATGGACATAAAACAAGAGAAAGAAGAGACTATATCTATCACTGAAAGAAAGAATAAAATAGCTGAATGAATATCTCTCCCAAAAACCAAACTTCAAAAATGAGCAATCAAACATTCGATGCTTATGGATTTTAAAAGGTTAATTTCTTATGCTTTTTTTTTTAAAAGGTGCCACATACTACATTGGTTTAATAAGTTAAATTGTTCTCTGATGTCTTAATAGTCGGTTTATGCCTTCAGTTAGTTAAAAAAAATCTTTAGAAACAGTTTTATAAGCAATTTTATTACTACATAAAATTCCCATTGAATCAGAAGGTCCATGAATGACCATATATGGCTCATGTCATGAATATTAATGAGCTCCACTCTTAACTTGCCGCTCTACAGACATGCAAACACACACACACACACACACACACACACACACACACACACACACACACACATACACACACACACACACACACACACACACACACACACACACACACACACACACAATGATGTAAGCTGAACACGGACAAACATAAACACAATCAGAGTAAAGTTAACCTATTTAGCTCACCAGATTTGTTATGGAAAAAGTCTAAATTATAATTAAACTTGACAAGAGAGTGATAGAGATGTATCATGTTGTATTTTAAAGGTAACGTTACAGTCAAAGAAAACACAGCCAGGATTTAGTATCAACCTCTGCATGAACAGATGACAGCTGAGCTGACTGATCTGACACGATTCAGCAGTCTACATGTGTTTGTTGAAATATTCATCAAATGTCACAATAAACACAATAAACATATTAACTTGACTTCTAGTTAATCATTTGGAAAGGTAGAACTGCATCCCATTCATCACACATACTGCAGAAGACCAATTGCTACGTGCATGGACCTAAGATTCTCACAGAAACCAGTCAAGTATGGTGAAAGAAAAATCATGGTTTGAGGTTACATTCGGTATGGGGGCGTGCGAGAGATCTGCAGAGTGGATGGCAACATCAACAGCCTGAGGTATCAAGACAATTGTACACAGGAGAGGGCCAATTCCTCAGCAAGATAGTGCTCCTTATACTTCAGCCACCACATTAAAGCTCCTGAAAGCAAAGAAGGTCAAGGTGCTCTAGGATTTGCCAGCCCAGTCACCAGACATGAACATTATTGAGCATGTCTGGAGTAAGACGAAGGAGGCGGCATTGAAGATGAATCCAGAGAATCTTGATGAACTCTGGGAGTCCTGCAAGAACGCTTTCCTTGCCATTCCACATGACTTTATTAGTCAGTTGTTTGAGTCATTGCAGTGATGTATGGATGCAGTCCTCCCAGCTCATGGGAGTCACACACAATTCATTCTTCCTCCACTGCAGCATGACTTTATATTCTATACTGCATATTATTTACAGTAACAAGACTTTTGTCTAAGCAAAGTCAGACCTTACTGTCCTAATTAAATCATTAAAAATCAAGGCGTGATCATATTTTATTTTGGTAAAATAATCGTAATCTAGAGGACTTTGCCTTTTATATGAGCCACTTCTGATATCAAATAATCAACTAGAATTATAATTAATTGCTGTTCTTAAAACGTGAATAGGCGACAAGACTTTTATCAGGTAGTGTAATATTTACCAAATGTCTAATCTATCAATATCTCCAAAACGCTGGGTTAACTGGTTAATTCATAATTTTTTAAATTTTCAAAAAGTTCCCTTTAAAATCCCAATAATACAAAAAAAAACAAACAAACAAACTTACAGATGCCATTCTCTATCCATTACTTTCAAAGAAACAGATTTTCCAATACACAGTCAGAGATTCAGCCAAATACTTGAGACTGTGCTCAAAAGTCTCCAGCGCCAAGACTGCAGCTCTGCACAAGACATTTGGCCAGAGGAGAAATGGTCGTGCCCAACTGAGCCTTGTTTCTCTTGAGTTTTTTTTTTATTCTTCACTTTCGCCAATTGGTGAAGTTTTCAGCTTTTGCCACTAGCTTGCATAGTTCAGGATAAAGGTCTGCATTTCCGCGGCGGTACCTGACCAGATTTCTGCGGTGCGGGAATAAATTTCTGAATAAAGCACGGGAGCGGTCGGTAACTGGTTTAATTTTGGACAGGAGTGGGCGGTCTAACAATATCGCTCCTGACTCCAGAGCGAGCAAGCATGCATATGTGTGTGAATGAGACAACGTGATGCTGCGTTTAGCTTAATTGTTGCTGTGTGTGCGAATGAGAGAGAGAGAGAGCTTTGTGCTGTCTGTGTGTGTCACTTGCGTGGTGCTTATGCATGTGTGTTTATACAGACAACTTGTTATAGGTGTCTAGACTCTGTATAGCTGGGTGGTTTTCGGTTTTGTTCTCCCCTGCTCGTTAGCAGGAACGGACGCGGCGGGTAGAAAACGGAACGGGTCGGGCAGCAAATCCTAAATATAAGCTTGGAGCAGTCAGGTTCGGGCTAAAACCTGGCGGGAGCGGGATTCAAAATTTAGTCCCGCACAGATCTCTAGTTCAGGATATGTAGAGCTGCGCATCGATGGATTTACTCTTCTGGGTTTGGACTCTCAGTAGTGATTATTAAACGACACTGAACTGAGCTAAACTAAACTGAACTTAAACACTGAAAATTGAACTGACACTGTTTCAATTTACTATGATCTTTTATGTGAAGCTGCTTTGACACTGTCGACATTGTAAAAGCGCTATACAAGTAAAGGTGAATTAAATGTTTTTCTTATTCTTTTCCATACTATCAAAATGCATTTTCTAAAATATAACAGTAAGCTCTTCCAGATCTAAATCTATTTGTTTTTTCATCTACACTTTGTTTCATAAACATTTGCACAATGCTAAATTAACCTAGACTTGTCCCGGCATCTGTCTTTTGTTGCTCTTCCAGTTGATCTGAAGTGCTTCTATTATCCCGACTGATAAATGAATGTACACGCAAAGACAGCAAAGCCAATTCAACATATGTCATTTTATTGTCAAAGCTGCATACACCTTATTTAACACATTTAAGACACTTAAATATCGTTCAAAGTACAAACTGACCATTATAAAACACGTAAGAAAAAAACACAAAACGTTGGAATGAAATCACAGGAGCACACACATAAAATTACTTTGCCCAGGAACAGATTGATGTATAAGAGCAAGTTGAACAGATTTACAGAGTTCCTTGTGAAATGGAGTGAACTCACGGAATGGACTGTAGATAGACGGGACTGGCCATCTACTCACTGTCTCCATCATCACTAATGATGCCGTGTAGGTTGGCCCAGGCTCCTCTCTTGCGGCCCCTGTTTGTGTGACTGTCTCCACTGTCCGAGTCAGAGTCCACAACACGTTTATAAGCGGAGGAGGGAGGGGAGGCATTCTGGGCCGGGGGCCACACTGCTGCTGCTGCTCTCCTTTTGGGACGTCCTGAAAATGACAAAATAAAAAAGGTGTAATTTCATAAAAGTTAATAGCCAATCAGTGTGCAAACAGGGTTCCCAGTTCAAGTTTTTACCCTAACAAAAAAGCTAAATCTCCATAACCTTGGCTCCCACACTAAAATGGGATAAAGAATCAAAGACTAAAATTTCAGAAGCTGACTGGTATGATATGTGCGAAATACACCAAACTACTAGTTCACAACATATTTCACATTATTACAACACCCAGGATTAAACGCAAACAGACCTCAAGACCACAAATGTGCTGGAGACAGTATGGGCAGGCAGAAGCAGATCATACCCATATCTTCTGGAGCTGTGGGAAAATTTAACCATTTTGGGATGATGTGCAGATTGTTATTATATTAGGTGTTTGGATACAGTTCATGGGACTGCATTATTTTTAAAGGGCCATGAAACCCCCTCGTTTCAGCAGGGTGTTTTCACACCTCTACTTTGGAGAAAGTCAGAAAAGTGGGCGTGTCCAGCTCTGTTTAGGGAGGAGTGTCGGAGGAACTAAAGTGGGATGGTGTGGGAGTGTCTGTTTGGGCTCGCGCGAGTTTCAGAGTCAAAATACACACACATACACACAGGAGAAAGTGATGGTGTTTAACCTACATGGACATCTGTAGTCGAATTATTTGCCAAATTATTAAATGTTGGACTTTAACTGCAGTTTGGCTTTTTGATTCACGGAATTCATTCATGTCCCTCGCGACAAACAAGATATTTGATTCGAGGAGCTGCTCTAAGCGTGTATTTTTCATGCAATGTTTGATACCGCACGGCGAATGAGAGAAAAAAACCCTCAGCATTTCCTGGAAACTTAGATGCACACAGCAGGTAGTGTCAGAAAGCTGCG